AATAGTGAACATTGCCTTTTCTCCCAAACTCTTCGTTACAACTAACATTTAGATCTTTTTGAAGTTCATTTCTTAGTATTTTCCTTATGTCTTCAGCACCTTCAGTGGTTCTTTAACAAGTAAGTCCAGACGCCTTAGAGTTCCACAATGCAAAATAGTAAATGAGAGAATGCACATTTCCTGTTTCCATTGCACAGAAGATTTATTTTGTTATAGGCAAATTTAGTTTAAAATAATACTTAACATCTGAAACTCTTTATTATTTGTGTTCTGTCTTCTAAGCACAGTAATAAAAGGGCAAGGTTTTTAAGTAAGAGTTTAAAATAAATTTTTCTTTCCTGAAGATCTTAAAACATAATGTTAGCAAATACATAGTTTTATCTCTTGTTACTGATAGTTTGTGAACAGACCCAGTGAAAGGAAATGCTGCCATGGTAACATAAACCAGACTGTTATTTGGAGACCTTACTCAAGATACTTAACTGCCCTGAACTGCAGGTTTTCAGTACCAGTTCTTCCAATTTACTATTTCAAGGAAATAGCAATTCTGCTATGTTCAAAACAATTTGTAATTCTCACGATTGAATTTGAAAAGTAGATTATTGAACAAAACAGTTTCTAAGAGTGTAATCTCAGGAATACCAAGATAGAACATGACTAACATTCTTAACATAATTGCCTTAGTCAATATATGAAAAATAATACAGACATATCTTTTCTATATGAAACTGAAGTGGGTTGGGGCAAAGGATGTTGTGGGTGCTAATGTTTTAAAGTTTTATTTCCCTATCATTGAAACATATTTATAATTTGGGCCAAGTGACTGAAAATATATTTAATTTAAGAAATTTCGTCACTTAATCCAAAAATACATATATAAAATTTGACTTCCTTTGAAAAACAAATCAAGAGTTCAAATACTTAATATATAGTCCATGTGGTATTTTGCTGCTGATGACCAGGAAAAGTTTCATCTAATAGTATGGTATGTTTCTTTCTGTATTACAGTATGGTATGACACCCATGGTTTTTCTTTTCCTATACATCTGGGTTGCTAGGATGTTAAAAACTGCCTAACACTCATAGTTTTTCTAAGACAAGAACTATTTTCCCTTCTAAATTTAGTTTATTCCTTGTTCTTTACTACCTTTACTGTCTTACTCAGAACTAATTGATTTTTGTTCTTATTGTTGATTTTTTTAACTCCCTCTTAGAGGAATATACTGTTACTAAACCATATAAACTCTTACTTTATGCCAATTTCAGAATAACCCCTAGAAATAAGTATTCACTTATTTTCCAGCTCTGTGTCACATATAAATTACCTTATTCGAATCTCCTCACAACTCAGTAAAGTGGCCTGGTTTTTTATTTTATGAATAAAATATGAGTAAGACGACTGACTCTTAGAGATTAAATGTTTTGTCCAATATCACATTGCCAATCAATAAGCAATGATTAAGACCTTACTATTTATACCTGTGGAACAGTGTTCTTATATTATGCCATTCTACTCTAATAATTATGACATGATGTTCAGAAGATAAAAGAGCCTCAGTAATAGAATATTATCTTGACAAAGAATTTGGGACATGGAAACACTCTGGAATTCATCATGTAAAATCTTCAGCAATCATAACAGCTTCTATCATATAGGATTTTGTATAAACAAAAAGGAGACAGGGGACTAGAACACGCATAAATTTTATTGTTGTCCAAGTAATTGTTAATTTAATTATGAAGTGTAATTCAAATTTTAACAAAGGGCTTTTGAAATAGAAAGGTATAATATGAAAAAAAATTTAACAGTTTGAAACTCACTAATCTTATGAGTTCTAAGGAAGTTTTGAACGTCACATGGTGGGAGAAGAGAAGATTATATACCTTATGGTTGATTTTCAACACTTGTAGAGAAAAAATCCTCAAAAATATTTATTAAAATTTAATGCCAATACCTAGTAGAATAGAAACAGAAAAACAAACTTGCATGCTATTAGACTAGAGGAAACAGGAACAGTTTTTAAAACTACAAAGAGAGTGGTGTCTGGGTGGCTCTGTTGGTTAAGCATCCAACCACCACTCAGGTCATGATCTTGCAGTCCGTGAGTTCAAGCCCTGCGCTGCGCTCTGTGCTGACAGCTCAGAGCCTGGAGTCTGCTTTGGATTCTGTGTCTCCCTCTCTCTCTGCCCCTCCCCTACTCACGCTCTGTCTCTCTCTCAAAAATAATAAACATTTAAAAAAAAATTTTAAATACTACAAAGAAAATGAACATATATCAATAGCAGTAGCCAATGTTTAATGAGTACTTATTGTCTGACAGTGTTCTAAGCACTTTATGTGAATTAACTCTTACAATACAGTAATTCTTGAAATAGGTACTATGTTTTATATAGTTATATTTTGAACATAGACATTTTTCTGAAGATTACACAGCTCTTAAGTGACAAAACCAGGATTCCAAAGGAGGCAAAATGGTTCCAAGGCTTACACTCTTAACCACTGTACAAGTAGTGTTTAGCTCTGGGGAAGTGGGATGAGATTGAATTTGGATCTTCTTCTTGCATGGTTGTGGAGTTTTGTGTAAAGGCTATGTGTGGATGCGGTACATGTGTATGGATATATTTATCATCTAGCTACTGTTCAGGATGTGCAGTTAGGGATGTTCAGCTAAGGAAATAGGAAAGGATAGGGGCGCCGATGGCTCAGTTGGTTGGGTGTCCAACTTTGGCTCAGGTCGTGATCTCAACAGTTTGTGGGTTTGAGCCCTGTGTCGGGCTCTCTGCTGATAGCACAGAGCCTGCTTCTTATTGTGTCTCCCTCTCTTCCTGCCCCTCTTCCGCTTGTGCTTTGTCTCTCTCTCTCTCTCTCTCTCTCTCT